AAACAATGCGGAAAAGTATAGTTTTCTGTATAGTCTGCTGGAAAATTATAAAACCATTGCATAAAAGTATACTTTTCTGTATAGTATGGGGGAAAGTTACAAAACAGTGGAGAAAAGTATACTTTTCTGCGTAGTATGCAAAAAAGTTACAAAACAGTGTAAAAAAGTATACTTTTTTATTTATTTATTTATTTATTTACACTAGAACGTCAATCGAGAACACGTCAGTCGAGAACAGAGCAAGGGAACACTTGAAGGGAAGTGGGGAAGCGGGTAGAATTTAGGTTATGACTGACGCCAAAGTCGTACTTGTGATTTTTAAATTTAAGGTGGATTCAGTGCCCCACTAGTGAAAATCCCCTAGATAGAATTCACATTGTTGCGTAAGGCCCTTCATCCGGCCCTGAGTGTTTTTATTTTCGAGCGATAAAAATCGCGTCAATCGAGAACAGCACTGCACATTCGTCTGTTCTCGATTGACGTTTTAGTGTATTTATTCATGACATATACGGGTAACAATTAAGACCCTTTAAGAGTTACATATGTATAAACTAAAAGTATATCGCCAAATGTTAAATGTTTTTGTAGGAAAGTTAGGAAATTTGGAGATCGTCTGCAGAAAAATTATATAAACAGTGCAGAAAAGTATGCTTTTCTGTATAGTCTTCAGGAAATTTACAAAACAATGCAGAAAAGTATAGTTTTCTGTATAGTCTGCTGGAAAATTATAAAACCATTGAAGAAAAGTATACTTTTCTGTAAAGTATGGGGGAAAGTTACAAAACAGTGGAGAAAAGTAAACTTTTTTGCACAGTCTGCACAAAAATTATAAAAACAGTTCAGAAAAGTATACTTTTCTGCATAGTATGCAAGAGATTTTTAAAGAAAGTAAGAAAAAGTATACTTTTCTATATTGTATGCAACAAAAGTTGAAAAAGCAGTGCAAAAAAGTATACTTTTCTGCATTATTTTGTAACTTTCTTGCATACTGTTCAAAAAAATAGACCTTTCTGCATTGTTTTGTAACTTTCCTGCATACTCTACAGAAAAGTATACTTTTTTGCACTGTTTTAAAATTTTTTTTGTTGACTATACAGAAAAGTATACTTTTGCACATTGTTTTGTAATTTTCCTGCATACTCTATAGAATAGTATACTTTTTTGCACTGTTTTATAATTTTTTTTGTTGACTATACAGAAAAGTATACTTTTCTACTTTGTTTTGTATCTTTCCTGCATACTCTACAGAAAAGTATACTTTTCTCCCCTGTTTTTTTATAACTTTGCTGTTTACTGTGCAGAAAAGTATACTTTTCTAACTAGTTTACAACATAATAGCAGTAATAATGTAGGGTTTGCAATACTTATATCATAATTTTCAAAAAAAAAAATTTCTATAAAATTTTGCAATTTAAGTCTTGTTTATTTCTATAAAAAAAATTTTTTTCTCTTTTTGCAGATGTTCAATTTGAGGGGGATGGCGTTTGTTGCGGAGCAGCTCCTGGAGGAGATCTTGCATTGCTGAGCGCAGTTCAATGTAAGTCGATTTACTTTTTCTCGAAATTTTTTTCTATTTTAAAATTATGAGTTTGATGTCTATCAACTAATTTTTTATCACTATTGATTGCATAGAACTAATAATCATTGATAAAAATATACTTAACCAGTACTAATATAGTGAACCTATTGAATTATTATATTTTTTTATGAATAAATTTTCAGTCAGTTGGTCCAGTAGCAGAGAGATTCATCTGATTGAAGCAGAGAGTATGCTGTCATCGTACCTACGACACGTTGAAAAAAATCAGTAGTGGTGAGCTTTTTTTTTTTGTTTTCTCTCCCAAAAAAAAAATTCAATAATAAATAATCTAGAATCATCCCTTAATTGGCAGAAATCTAAATATACTGTTTTAGAAAATAAATTTTATTTTTTTTATTTTTTCAGTTTATTCCCATATGACAACCTGAAGGACAGGAAGGATGTGGAGGAAGAAAAGCGGCCCCTGCATGCTACCAGTTTATTCCAAAGTAGTTTATTTTTTTTTATATTTTTGTTTTTGCCTGGTAGCATAACTCCCGGTCTCCTGCAGATGTGCAACAAGAGGGAGGGTTCTCCGTGGAGTGGTCCAAGAAGAAAATTTTTCAACGTTGGATTCGCCGATCGTTGAGTCATTTTCTAAATTTATTTATAGCTCAGGAGTAGATTTTTCTTTTCGTTTTCCAAATATAGCTATAGGTAGGAAAATCGGGATTAGTTTATATTTTATTAGGATTTGATTTGCGAATTGTATTTGTATTGTGTGCATGTTTAATTAATCCATTTCTTTCAGTTGAATCATCGTGGTGAGCAATAATTTTTTTCATTTATTATTTAATTATATCTCTTTTCAGGAAAGTGTTATTTTTTTTTAATGTGCGCGTTAGAAATTATTAGCTTCGGGAGTGTTCGATTTTTTTAAAACCGCGATCGTTTTTTTAGGGTGTTTAACTTTTTTTTCCCCCCGTTTTCAATATAGACAATTGTGTTTCGACTTTTTCTAAAATCGCGATTTTTCAAGAATGAAGAAATTTGATATGGAGATATACTTTTGAAGACATCTGCTATCTGTAAGTTTTTTGGTTTTAATAAAGGTATTTATTTGATGTAATTATTTATTGCGTATTGAAGGTGAAAATATTCTTCTAAATAATTATTATTTTTTAAATGTTATTTATATATGTGACATGCTCTGAAGAAAAAGGGACCTTAGGCTGTATCCACAATAAGAATTTTCAGCGTTGTTCGCGAAAGGTACACGTAAGTTACGCGAATGTTTTGCGGAATTGCCAACTACAGGAAAAAAAAATTTCGCTTTGTTTTGAACGTGGATACATAACCTCCAAATTAATTTCGGTAAAGGTATCGAATAACAAATACAACTTTATAATATTATATTATCGTTTATTATTATTATTTTAATTATTAATTAATTATTATTGTAAAAAAATAATAATAATAATATATATTAATATTATTAATTATTAATTTATTATTATTATTATTATTATTATATTATCATTACCTGAAAGTTGACTTTTATTGTTCAATGTTTACGCATACATATTTTTGATTCACCGTAAAATTTATTCATTACAAATTTCAAGAAAATATTTTTTAGAATTCGATTTTTTAAAAATTCTATAATTGTTACATATTTATATTAATTAAAAGTTTCAAAGGTATGACAAATTAATGACATTCTTTCAATCAGGTGTCGTTACCGAAATTAATTTGGAGGTTATGTATCCACGTTCAAAACAAAGCGAAATTTTTTTTCCAGTAGTTGGCAATTCCGCAAAACATTCGCTTAACATACGTGTACCTTTCGCGAACAACGCTGAAAATTCTTATTGTGGATACAGCCTTAAAAGCAAACGATTTATAGGTTATGTTTACGGTAGTTTTACCTTGATTAAACGTTTATTTTTATTTATGTAAAATTAAATTCAGTTTTTATTAAATATTTTAGATGTAATGAAAACTTAAATATCAATTATTGAGAGTTGATCTTCTTTGTGTATATTCAATTCGAAATTTCAAAACATAACCTACAATTTTCGGCTTCTAAAGTCCCTTTCTTCAGAGCGCGTATTAATTTGTAAACAATTTTAAATGCTTAATTTTTATTTTAAATTGAAATTATTTTAAAAAACGGAAAATTTTAAAAACACGTTAAAAATGGCCCCAATGTTTTAATGTCAAAAAAAAAGTCTTGCAATTTAGCGCAACTTCTTTAATCCGTGAAATGTGTATTCAAGCGTAAAGCAAAGACATGGTCGGAATAAAATGACAATGATGTCCAACCCCCGCGATCTTTTTTTTTTTTCATTGAAGGGATGCGCAGAATTGTAATCGACATCAGAGTCCTTTCGATTGCTCAACTTGCGGCTATATTCGGCCGACGTACCGTAAACGAAAATCCAGGAAGAAATTGCCCCGAAGCGCGGTGAGCCGTAGCCAGTTGACAAGAGGTCGACTCAAGTATAACGAGACGAAGAGTAGAAGTAAAGGAAAAGAGAGAGAGAGAGAGGGAGCTCGATGTGGTTGACGGTGGTAGTGCAGTGGTTTGAGAAGAAGGAAAAGGAGTTGTGGCAAAAAGGGTTTCGGGGCGAAAGGGGGCTAAAATAGAGGGGGAGGTCTTTTGCTTGGGGCAATGCAGGCAGACGTTGAGGTACCCGTTTTCCCTCGGGCTAGGCATGGAATCATGCAGCGAAGGAGAACGTTGCGCTGTTCCGGTGATGGGTGAACGTGGAAGGTAGGGGTGAGAGGGGGGGGGACAGGAAGGACGTGGGTCGAGGCAAAATGCCCCAGGCATTTCGGGGTACAGTGTCGCACACGATATGATGGTACGAGCGGAAGTTCAACCTCTCGGGAAAATAATTGTTCTTCTATAGATATAAAGAATTTAATTTCTCTGAATTTCAGATATATATATTTTTTGTGAAATTATGTGGCATATTTTACTATACTTATATGTAGAAAATTATATCATATTTTTAATATTTATAATTTTTATTTATAAATATTAACATATAAATAATTATTTATAAATTAAAATATATTATTTACTTATATTAAATTTATATAAATATTAATTAATATTTAAAAATATATTTATTATAGGTATAATATTTATATTTAATTCTATTTTTTTGGAAATATTTTTTTCTGAGTATTTTGAAAGATTTCAAAAAGAAAAAAAAAAGAAACTCGTTTTAAAAAGTAAATCTTTAATTTAATTTCTCATTGTTGGAACGGAAATAGGCTATTGGTTGAAATATATACAGGAAACAATGAGACAACTTTCCCACGTGTTCTCTCGAAGTCAGTTCGCTAAGTGTATCTACTTCTTAAAAGACAGTTTCCTGTGTCTTGTTTGGCACGCGCAAACTTTTTTTTTTATCTTAATATAGTACTGTTGATAATATAGGTGTGTAAGGTGGGGTAAAAGTAGACGTACTTTCAAGGCAATGTTTTTTTTTTTTTATTTAAACGATGTAAAAAATAAAATCATGATTCTGACATTTTTTTGGTTTAAATATTAATTATAAATAATTGCAGAACTACTTTGAATGTAACTTTTTTTTTTTTATTATAAAAAAACTAAATTTAGAATTAAAATTTTTATTGTTAAACAAGAACGCAACACATTTGACCATCCTGGCAATCTACGGCATTTCTTTGAACTGTTGGACCACATCGGTCCATACAAATACCTCCATGATGTCTGCAATGAGTTCGGAACTCGCTTTTAACTGTAAAAGTAAACAAAAGTTAATTAGTTTTTTATGTAAATTATTAAATTAATAAAATAATTTGCTAATTAATTTATAATTTAATTAGTAAAATAATTAATTTATAATTTATAATTTAATTAGTAAAGTAATTTACCAATTAATTTTTAATTTAATTAAGTTAAACAATTTACTAATTAATTTATAATTTAATTAGTAAAAATAATAAATGCCTCGTTGATAGGAGACAATTACAATGAAAAAGATACTGTAACATATTGGTGCTTAAAATAATTATGTAATATATTTTATTACTTAAATTTATTTCACGCCATTGGTTCGATATTTTTTTATTGTTATTGTTAATTAATTAATTAACTTACCAACACTGCAACATTCATCTCCTTCACTCGAACATGTAACAGATTTATCTCTAATAAGCGTCTCACATTTTTCGGGCGGTAGACAATTTTCTAGGGGACATATTTCGGAAGCCGCTACTTGTACTGTAAAATAATTTTTTTTTTAAAGAAAATATTTCCTTTTTGATATATTCAAAATTATTAATTATCGTTCCATAAATAAATTATTAATAATAAATATTATTTTTTAATATTATTAATATTATTTATTAATATTATTAATATATTTTTTAAATCAATAAATAAATATTTACAATTGTTTAACTATAAAATTCACATATAAATAATAAAATTACTAAAACGAGTTTTTAACGAAACAATAAATTAAAAAATATGTTTCTATTTTAAATTGCAATAATAAATTGTTAGTATTTCTTATCATTATGAGTATTTTAATTCAAGTCCAACAGTTCAATAATTATTTTACTCTAGGTATGAACTTTCAGTAAAATTCTTTTTTGTCTTCACTCTAAAATTGAATTCAAATCTATTGACAGAACTTTTGTTATAAATTTTCTTAAAAAAGTCTAAATATTTTATTAAATGTAAAATTTTTAGAAAAAATCAGATAAAATAATTAAAAATTATTAAATAAAATAGTCAATAATTAGTAAATAAAATAAGCCACATAATTTTACATTTTTGAATAGATACACTGAAAAAAAAATTTATTTGATTCAAATAATCGGTTACTTGATTATTATCAAATAAATATTCATTTGTATCAAATAATTATTATTTGAGTCAATTAAATAGTATTTGGTTTAAATACAATTTATTTAATTCAAATAAAAATTATTTGGTTCAAATAAATTGATAATAGTCAAGTAATCAAGTATGAGAATCAAATAAATTTTTTTTTCAGTGTAGAATTCTTTTCAATATTAATGGTGTTAATTTATGTAGATGGTCGATGAATGAGAATAAAAATGGTATATAAATGCCAGCGTTGCTTACCTGAATGAAGATAGCAAATACAAAGTAGAAAGAAGAAAGTAATGTTAACTGATAATATTGCGGTTCTCATCCTTGGTAGTTATATTCTTGACAGTCGAAGATTCAATGGTATTACTTTCCCGTTCGCGCTACCATTATATATACACGATGCTTCCCGCAGTACTCTTTTAAACGTTAATTTAATTTTGCAATAGTATTAGTGGTCTCTTGTATAAGCGTGGTCGCGCTTGCGTGTGTATATTCATCAGACACCGCGATGACTCGTATCGCGTTGTGCATTTCATTATCAGGTAGCACTAACAAGCACGTCTTTATAATTTACGATTGACTTCTCACTATTTTTTTTTTTTTTTTTTTTTTTTATTGTTGTCTTCACATCAATAATAAATTAATTTATTATTGAGAAATAAATATTCCACATTAGACGTTGAATGTAAATATTTTCTTGTCTTTCTTTTTTATGTATATGTTGTATAGAAAAATATCTTTTTATTACTTTCTAATTTGATGGTATTTTAAATTCTTAAATTCAATTGTTTTGGGTCAAAAATTTTTATGAACATTTTTTTTTGAGTTGAAATTTAAATTAGTAAAAAATTTTAATTAATTTGATTTACTAACTTGCTTTTGAATTAAAATTTACTAATTTGTTAGTAAAAAGAAATTATTTAAATTTTATACTAATTCAAAAGTAGTAAGTAATTCAAATTAGTTACAATTTTTTAATTAATATTTAGAATTAGTTGAAATGAAATTGATTTTTTAATTAGAGTTTACAACAATTACAATAAATGAATGATACACTGAAAAAAAAAATTTATTTGGTTCAAATACTCGATTACTTGACTATTATCAAATAAATATTTATTTGTATCAAATAATTATTATTTGAGTCAATTAAATGATATTTGTTTCAAATACAGAAATTATTGGTTCAAATACAATTTATTTATTTTAAATAAAAATTATTTGGTTCAAATAAATATTTATTTGATAATACTCAAGTAATTGAGTATATTTGAATCAAATAAATTTTTTTTTCAGTGTAATTATATATTTAGCTAGAAAATTAAAAATAGTAGAATTTTTATGTTTGAACTCCTTATAAGTTAACATCACTATCAACAGGGGATTTTCAACATATTTCTTTCTTTGTTGACCTTACTTAAACATACTTATATATCGGGGGATTCCTTAGAGAATAAAAGTCATCAATATTTCAAATTGCTTCCTTTTATGAGGAAGTATTTGTAACATATGTAGCATATAAACAATTTTTTATTTTGAAATAATTTAAAGACAATTTTTTTATTACAGTTTTTTATTGGATACTTTTTTATTTTTTTTATTTTTTATTATTTTTATTTTTATTATTTTTATTTTTATTATTTTTATTTTTTCATTTTTATTATCATTGTTATTACAATTGTTAGTAATAATAACAAAAGTTTCAAAATTGGATATTGTAAATTATTAAACTGGGAGTTTCTTTACCAAAATGTTATAAAAAATAATTTAGAATTCAGTTAATAAAATAAAATTATTAAAATCAAATGTTATAATTGATTATATTATCAGCATCATTTTCTCGAGAGATAATAAAAAGATATTTATAACAGAGTAGTCGAGTCATCTCGCGGATCCTCTATCAAGCTCTTATATGATATATACCATCATCCCAAAAGTTTCAATTCTTTCGAGATGTAATTTATTTTCAATTTATCCAAAGAGCACTCAATTTTTTTTTATGTTTGAAAGTTATTCCACTTTAATCGATATAATAGGGAGTAATAGTAAATTTATTTTTTTATTTTTAAATATTTTTATTACTGTATACTTTTTACATCAGTGAATTAACTAATGATTATACAAATATTAATATCATTAATGAAAATAATTTCATTCAAAAAAAAAAAAAATATTGAAAAAAATTATTTTATACGTGAAATTTTTTTTTTAGTAGATGATATAAAATAATAATACAATAAATAATACAATTAAAAAAATTATTTTTAAAATAATAAAGTAAGTCAGTGTATTTGTCCGTCACATCGAAGTTATATTTTATCTTTTCATTTTCTTTTGTTCTCTAAAAGCGATTTTTTTTCTTTGCAAAAATTTTCTTGCAGAAATACTTTCATTATAATCATAAATTTAAAAAAAAAGTAATTACAATTATTTATAACATACGTGTATGGCATTCTGAAAATAAAATCACTATATTGAATAAGATAAGATAAAAATAATTAACAATGCCTTTTTAAAACCAGAATTTTTTATATAATAATAATAATCGAGTGATAAGTACCTGTTAGGATTTCAAGCTACTATATATATTATACAGGTTCAATTTCCTTAAATGTTTAGAGTCAACAATATTTCGAGTGTCAATAAAAGATTGTTATTCTCATTTTTTTTTTATTATACACAATAACCTGCAGTTCTGATAACAAGTAGAATTTTGCAATTTTTATCAAAACAGTTTTTTATACAGAATTTTTTAGTTTAACAAATTGTCATTTTACCGAATCGCTAATTAACTAACAGTATTTTTTTTGCCGAATTTCGATTTAATCTAATTCACACTTAACCGAATTAAAAATTCGTTTAATCAACAATTGGATTATAGATGAAAATTCAGTAAATATAAATAAAAATAGTGTTAAATTGTTATTTCGTTAAATGGTAATTCGTAAAAATGACAAATAGGTCAAATGGAAATTTACTTAAAAAAATCAATTCGATTAATATATATTTTTTTTTTTTTTTTGTAAAATAAAAAATTTTGTCAAAATAAAATTCGGGCAAAATTTTCTCTCGGTTCCGCAAATATCAGCAGAAATATATGAGTCGTACGTTTGTAAATGCAAAAACGATACGGATTGATTTGTGATAAAAAGTGACGTATTGAGTACCAGGAAATAAATTCCAAGTTTGCTTGAAATCCTAATGACTTTTTTTTTCCTTTTATAGAAGTGTATCTGCACAAGATACTCCTCTCTTTTTATTATCTATCAGACTTACTTTTATTTATTTTTTTAATAATAATAATATTAATAATAATAATAATAATACACAATAAATTATTATTGACCCCGAACATTTACAATTTATCGTCATAAAGTTCTTTTTTTTAATGTTATTGATGGGAAATTATTTACATGAGACTTATCATTAAAATACAGGCTTCCATAGTGTGTACATATGCATTTGTCATTTACTAGAATACTGTACAGAATATGTGTGTTGCTTATCTTAAGAAATCAAAAAATTGTCGATGTGACTAGAACTTGCAAAATAATAGTCTCTCGCATTATTATTTTTTTTTTTCATTTTCTTTTGGAAGCATAAAATAGTATAAAATATCTCACACGATTAAACTTAACGATTGTACACTTATATCGGTTTCAGTTTTTTTTTTTTACGAGAATATGACTCATTTTCTAAAACTACCAAAAAGTTGAAAACATTGAAATTTGTTTTTAATTTCCTAAAATTGTATAACATTATCTAGTCCAGACTATATTGAACAAAAAAAGGAAAAATTAGGATAAAATATAGATGTACAAAATGAAGATTTTGAAGTTTTTTTGGGTTTGAAATTTTGCTTCATCGATTTTCAGAATTAAAATTGAATTGAAATTTAGATAATTTTGTTTTATCACAGTCAACTATGATTATGCACTGGGTCGATAGTCAGTTACAGTCTTTAGGAATGTGTATATATCCTTAAAAGTTGGTCGTTCATCTTCATCTCTTTGCCAGCAGGAACACATTACTTTATAAACGTCCTCGGGACACATCATTGGTTTTGGCAAAAATACCTGAAATTATTTACAAAACAATTAATCAAAATTGTTCTCTAAAAAAAATTCATTTTAATAAGATTACTTTTTATTTGCTTTTCTTCAATTATTTTTAATTAATTAATAAATATTTACTTGTAATTCCTCTCCATAATACATGAGTTCAGCATTTTGTATGACTTGTTCGTTGGAAAGATGTTGAAATGGTTTTTCTCGCGCAAAACTCATGACTTCCCATAATGTGACAGCGAACGACCAAACGGTACTTGGACAGGTGTATCTATCCTGAAATCAAAAGGGTTTTTTTTTTTTTTTTATTTTTTTTTTAAATGTGATTATATACAGCTGGACTGAAAAAATGTTGTGTTGATTAAAAGGGAGACCAATTGACAATTTATTTGATAACGTACCAATAAAATACTTTCCCACGAGAGCCATCTGATTGGAGCTAAAGGTCGTCCACCTATGTCGCTGTAGTCTTTTTTATAAAGGTCACTGCACATGGCAATGTCTGTCACTTTTACGGTGTAATTTCGTCCTAGAAGGCAATTTCTCGCCGCCAAATCCTTATGCACTAGATTTTTCGATTCCAGAAACTTCATACCCGATGCTATTTGCAATCCCATGTAAAGTAGACAACTTTGACTGAAAGGAATAATATTTAAAGATTTCTTTTTTTTTTAGTATTTTGTTTATTTCTCATTTTTAGATAAAAATTGAATTTACTAAAAAAAAGAAATAAGAATGGTAATTCGTAAAAGCTCATTTTTACTACAAGTGGAATTTAACGAGTTGTTTGTTAGTTTGGTTTTTTAAAAAAAAGTCTTCTTCGAATTTTTAAAAACATTTGACCCAGGAAAATGTGCAACGTAAATTCCTAATTAACCCCCATTCTTTAAAGTATACAAAAAGCACCGGAATAACAGAGGGAAAAAAAAATCTTTAATATTGTTTTTTATTTTCATCTATGAAATGTAGTCATTAAAAAAGCTTTCACAATGTGAGAAAAAAAAATTAAGAACAAAGTTTTGTTCTACTTGCATAATTTTCTCTTGTGAAAAGTTTCATCTGCTCAAATGATCTCGGGAAAATTGTTTTAAAAATTGAAACAGATTTATTTTTATTAATTAAAATTAATGCTCATTAATTAGTATTTAGAATTTAGTATTTAGAATTAAAAATTTTAATTTAGGCTAATCAATTTGATTAATTAATAAATAGATGAGTGATTGTCTATTAAACTGGGATTTTAGTTTAGTGATATACTTAATAAGGACTTAATGGATATTATCTGGAAATTTCTCAACTAGAAAATTTTACGCGCTGTTGTTGTCGATGATATATAGAAGAAAATTGATTTAATCAAAATTATCGAGCGTTCGATATATTAATTACCTGAGTAAATTGAGACTGCAGTTTGGCCTCTGTATTCCAGTGAGCGGCTCACTGTATTGTAAATAATGAGCAAGATCGCCAAGCTCCGTGTACTCGATTATCGTCCAGGGCGTTGCTGGATCTGCTGTGCAAACACCCAGAACACGAGCTACGTTTGGATCAGAGAGGCCAGACAGAAAGCGTACTTCCCTCATAGCGTCACTTGCATTACTGCACTTGCTCTCCTTGTTAGAAGCTGGTACTCGAGCAACAATTAATCTCAGAGCTTCAGCATCGTCAATTTCACCTAAAGTCGTTGCTGCACAAACTATTACCTAGATGAAAGGAGAAATAGACTCAGTTTTTTTTTCGGTGTCTTCTTTACTTTTATCAGATGATGATGATAGCTTTCTGCTTTAGTCTTTTGTCTTTTCTCTATACTTGGTATTTTAAATACTGATACAAAGATGCTGCTGATGATGATGATGATTATAATTATTAGATTAACAGTACTTAAAATTATATTCAGAGATGATTGACTAAATTATTTGATTTATCAGTGGTTTTAAGAAACTAATTGTAATTAGTGGTAACCAATTTTTATGACCACGGAGAAAAATGAATTGCTACAAGAAAATTTTAGTTGCTGCTACAAAATTTTAATTGCTACAACAAAATTTTAGTTGCTGCTACAAAATTTTAATTGCTATAACAAAATTTTAATTTCCACAAGAAAATTTTACTTGCTGCTACAAAATTTTAATTGCTATAACAAAATTTTAATTTTCACAAGAAAATTTTAGTGGCTGCTACAAAATTTTAGTTGCTACAATAAAATTTTAATTGCTACAAGAAAATTTTAGTTGCTGCAACAAAAATTTAATTGCTATAACAAAATTTTAATTTCCACAAGAAAATTTTAGTTGCTGCTACAAAATTTTAATTGCTACAACAAAATTTTAGTTGCTGCTACAAAATTTTAATTGCTACAAGAAAATTTTAGTTGCTGCTACAAAATTTTAATTGCTACAATAAAATTTTAATTTCCACAAGAAAATTTTAGTTGCTGCTACAAAATTTTAGTTGCTACAATAAAATTTTGTTTCTTACAACAAAGTATTGTTATACCAACGAATATATTAGTATTACCAACGAATTTGTTACTACAACAATACAGATTTGTTGCAGTAACCATACAAAATTTTAGTTACAGATTTCGTAACTACAATATTTATTTTTCTCCGTGCAGTAATGATCATTAAACTATTATTCGGATAATTAGCAAAAAAAAAATATTTAATAAAGAAATCCAGAAAGGAATGTGTTAATGAAATAATGAAATGGGTTAAAGTAATTAAATTTTGGCAGTGGTTTTTAGCAATATGTTTTTTTACCTCTCCAATATGACTGGAGCCAAGTTTCTCCATTGTATGTAGACATTGGTGTGGTATGTTTGTAGGTTCAATTTCCCTGCACTTATACGGTTTATTCATACTAGGCGCGATATTCCAACTGACAACAGGTGCTGGTATCTGGAATCGCAAAAAATTCTTCTTGATCAAAATACAATGGATAAAATTGAATAAAAGTTTCGGTGTTTCTTGTAATTTTTGACCATCCGAACAAAAAATGTAAAAAAAATTAACAGAGAAATTGACATTAATTAACAGAAGAACCTTCAGTTAATTAATGTTAATCCGTTTTTCCCTTTACTTTTTTTTGTATGAAGAAGGTCGAAAACTACGAAACCAAAACCTTTTTTTTTGTTCCTTTAGCTTACTTTATGTTTTTCTTTTGGGGCAGTGTTCCATCTTTTTGAATGTCCATAATCAGAATCACGATGACGAATTGACAAATTAATGACATTAGGTCTCACTGGTGAATTATTATAAGTTTGTAGTGTTCGATAATGTTGAGTTTGACGAATTGGCGAATTTGACGATGATGATGACGATGAACATTCGGATTTTGACTTTAGACGTACATTAATATCAGGACTGTCGAGATTATTTAATTTTTGCGGTGAATCTGTAAGGAAAATTTTTGGTAAAATTATTGACTATATAATAATTTTTGTTCTCTTTTGACTAATTTAAAATTTCAAACTCGTCCTTGAGTAATGATAACTGATTTTTTGGGGGGAGATCATTTTCCATGATAAAGAGATGCAATTTTCTTCTTGATTAAACTCTTGTGACTATACGTACCAGAATTCGCAACAACCGCATAAGTAGACTTGTACTGTGAGTCTACCAGAGGAGAATTAAACTGCTCCATCGTCAGTGGTTCGTGCATGCTAACGTCCTCCGGAACATCCGGAGAGACGTGGGCGTTGTTGTTTAACATTCCACCCGGGGTCAAATTTAGAAGGAAGTCCTGTGAAATGTTAAATACAATTTTCCTTTTAATACAATTTTCATAATGAACCCTTCTACTATGTATTGTTCACTGAAAAAGCTTTTTCTTTAGATCGTTTCCATAAATTCCGCTAATTTGTACTTTTATTTATTTTCTATTGTGGAAAATTGTTATCAATCGCTTACATAATTTATAGGATTTCATAAAAGGATATAAATTATTATATAATGAAAATTTTGAATATGATTCTATAATGTGCGATTCATATTACATATATATTTGTTAATTAGTGTTAAATTATAAAATTTAGTTGAAACAGTTGTAGCACATATATATATATGTTTGTTAATAATATTGTTCTCTATATTGGTATTAAAATGGATTGGCTTTATAAAGGACATAATGAGAACTTCCAGATCTATTACAACAAGTCACATACTATTGTCGATTAACTGTTATTACGAATTGCGTACATTGCTATACATAATTATTGTATGTCTATATATGGATATATGATCATCATAAATAATTGCCCGAAGGATATGATGATATTCATTGACGTATATATATATATTTAATGAAATAAAACTCACCGGAAATTTGAGTTTCATGTTGATTGCAAATCCAAAGGGATTTTTTAACACTGTCGGTGAACTTTGTAGTTTTTGTCGACGGCTCAATAATAAAATAATAACAAATACTAATAATAAAAGTAATGTTACTGCTGTTAGAACGCCAATTAAAACCTCCACGTATTCTTTGCCCTCTTCTCTTGCAGTTACTGAAAGAAAATATGATTAAAAATTAATTTTATAATTTTATTTTCTATGGAGAAGGAAATTAAAAAAAATATATTATTATAGAAATTTTAAACATGGCATTCTTTTGTAGGAGATAAAAAATTTTAAATGTTAATCGAGGGAGCTGAAACGTTAAATCGTGGTAACTTATGCGGAAGGATGCTCGGATGAGTAGACATTTTAAATTTTTGACGTTTTTCACTGGCCACCAAGATAAAATTAGTAAAGCACAATCCAGTTCAGTAGAAGGTATTACGGTTGAATTCAAACTTCATATCTCTGTTTTTTTTTTTTTTTTTTTTGCTAAATGTTCTGTTCCTCTTTTATTTACACCTGCTGGGCAAATCATGTGTTTTTAAAAAATAGAAAATTTCTCTATCAGCTCGTAATTTGAAAGATTACACGTTTTCCAAAAAAAATACATACTTTGAAAAATGAAAATAAAAATTGTTTTATTTTTAATTAAATTAAACTCTTGATATCGATTATTTTAACCATTCGAGTATCTTTTCTCAGAAGTTGACGTACAATTCATTTAATTATTTACGTTTCGTGAAAGTTGGCTCTCAAATTATAAAGCTCACCAACAGTGGAAGTTGGTTAGTTTGGATGCCTTTTAATCGCGTTTTCCCCCAGTATACACAGAATGACGTGCTTCATTTTCGTAATGAAGTCGCACAACTCGTGCCAAAATCGAAGACGTTTTTCGGTAACGAGAATGCGCAATTGCTTACCTGTTTAATTTTCAAGAATAAAGGCAAACATTTGGGTAAAAGTTTTGGCTTCTCTTTTGCTCTCTTAGAGAGAAAGATGATGAAACTCTACATGTATATATATATATATAGTCGAAGAAAAAGCTGACTTCCCTTTTGGAATGTGTAATTATCTTTGGAAAGTAAGCACTTGGTGTAACTTTGTCTATTTGTACGGAAACTGACTTGTGAGCTAAGTACCAAAGTACGCTGGACAAGTTACCTACTCGTTTGTAAGTTGAGGTCCACGTCCTGGTTTACTCGAACCTCCCCATTACTAATTTTGGACACAGTCTCCTCTGTCACGTTCTCGAATGGATTGGCTACAGTAAATAGAACATCTGTATTAGACTTGAAATTTATTTCGCCATTTACATTTAGAAAGACAATGTTTATGTGACAATTTCATTTTCTTTGGTAAACGGTCACTTTTGTTTCCCAATCAAGGAGAATTTTCCTTTTCTTTTTAGATAATTTAAAAGATTGTTTCTTTTATTTATACTTACATTCCTCGAATGTTATTTCACTGATTATTATCCATCTTGCTGCAAAGTAAAGATGAATTTTGACGTATTGACCAACTTGACTGTGTAAATTAATCGATACATTGCGAGCGTTCTCCAAAATTGTGTCAGGTATATAGGAATATGAAATAGGCTCTTTTTCTTTATCAAATTCATCGGTTTCGCTAAACCAAACTTCTGCTTTTGAAAAAACCTAAAAAATATTTTCAAATTATAAAAATAATTTTTTAAAATTTTTAAAATTTTTTTAAAATTTTTAAAAGAGAGGAAATATTTATAAAATCAAGAAATTAGATATCGTACCTGAACATCTCGTGAAAAATAATTGTTGGTATATATGTGAACGGCGTTGAAAACTCTGAGATCGTCGAATTGGAAAATGAGCTCGATGAAGTTGTTAAGAAAAATATCGCGCATCCAGGCAACCCAACCACTACCTATAGAAAAAAAAATACTTGATTAACATTTTCTGCCTGTGTAATATCTATTTTGAGTTTCACTCAGATTCATGTAATCATTCATTTTCGTATAATTCTTTTTTTTTTTTTTTTTTTACTGAAAATGCCGAGTTGATATCAATTAAATTAATGCAAATGCACGAATTGTCAATTAAAGTGCAAAACAACTTTGTAATAATTGTAGGTAGTCACTATAAAGTTTCTCGACCTTCTATCTTTTCAGAGAGAAATTTATATATACATATATATATATTTGCATTTTCTAACTAGACCCGACTTAACTTTGATATTAATTAAACTGAAATATTAAACTATTTCACTTTAACGTAATTAGTTTTACTTTAATTACTTTGTCATTCCTTTTAAAATAATTGCATTTTATATGTATTTTTTTTAACGAATCTGAGAAGTTGAACATTCTTTGATGTATTATAAAGAATTATTAAATCTATAATTATAATTCTAAATTCAAATTATTATTTATAAGTAATTTTTTTTTATTCTTTTCTACCTCTAGTAATGTTCAGATTTTCAAAATAGAAACAAAGCTAAAAGAAAGTACAATTTAATCGGTGTTAGAAGTTTTTTTTTTGGAAAAAATTTTTCATTTTATTTGCATCGAATTTTCAGATATGTAATTTTCAGTTCTTCGTTTATTGATTCCTATTATAGAGGGAGATAGAGTGGAATATGAGGCAGACAATGAGAAATCTATATTTGAGTGATTGTTGATTATAACAAAAGGAAAATTGAATAAGAATGAGTTATTGTAGTTGGTGACCTAATAAAAGTCGATGATGATGTGCTTTATTGCTAAAGTGGATCAGAGAATGTATATGTGTGTTTATATTTGGTTTAGTGACTTGTAGTGATGAAGGATTAGATGGTTAATTAAGTATCTGCGGGAAATAGAAAGCAGTGCATCGTTGCAAGCATTAGAATTACCTCTTCCATATCCGGTATCCATCCTGTAATTATCGGCACCGGTCTCTCCATCGATCAGTCGACCTAAGCCTCCAGAGAGTATTCCAGATTCTCTCACTCCATCGTAAGAACTGTCGCTCAATTCGGGCATTGGTGATTCTGGCATTGTATAACTTATTAAGCCACCTGTAAATATGCAAATTTCATCACAAAATTAATAATGAACTAATTAATAATTAATTAATAACAATTTTATTTTTATATATAATTTTTGAATTTAAAAAATAAAAATTAATTAATCGTAAAAATCGATGAATCGAAATAAAATTTTTGTACATATATTAAAAAAAAATTTTAAATCACGCAAAGAAAAGTGTGTTAAACATTTTGCCATTGACCCTGATAATAATTGTAACATACATCTGAATAAACTTGTTTTTTTTTGTATTAATATTTCATATATTTATTTTGCGATATAAATATGAATTTTTTTAAAAAATGTTTTTGCGATTTAATTTCCATATTTACGATTATTTGTAGGTAGCAGATGTTCGATTCACTTAATATAGGGAAAATCTTAATAAAAATTTGCTATGTTTTTAACCATTAAAAATTAATTAAAGATTTTTATCACATTGTGTTATTTTTTTTTTTTTAGAGAATACATTAAATATTTTTAATATATGTTGTAAAATTTGTAACATTATTTCGAAAAATTTCAATATTGAAAGTGGATTATTTTTCCTTTATTAAAAATAAGTAATTGAAAATTTAAATATTAGAAAAAAATAATTCTATAAATCTGATAAACTTTTCGTCATAAAAAAAGAATAAAATTTTAATAATAAAATTTAATAATTAATAAATCAACGAGTAAATTGTTTTAAATGGAAAGTGTTTATAAATAACGAGTAATTTTTATTATGAAAAATAACAGGATGATATTAGTATAAATAGTTAGTGGGAAATCTAATAAAGATCTTTAATGAAGATAGTGATTAAACGTCATGATTTTCATGAGTTCTTATAATGGTTGAGTGGCTAATTTTGAGGTGAGCAAAAAGGAAATAAGGCCTCTCCTTTTCTCCCCTTCAACCCTCCGTCAATCTTTACATATAGTGAGAAAATTAATAATAAATTGCTAAAATAGCATACTATGCACACGATATACTATGCATGGATCGTGTTTAGAATCACCTAACTGCTCTCAATATTTTACGGCACAGTAGCCGTAATGTGTCACGCGATGTGTGGTCAAATGTTTTGGTCACTCTATATGTTTGTACTTTGGTCGACTCCAAAGCTTTCGAGACTCGTTGCAAATAATCTCGAGAAATTAATCCGCGATATATACACACCTACCAACGACATATGTATAGGGCTAAATTAACCCTTTGTAGGAGAATATGTTTAATTACAGCTAGTCAATTATTTCTCTCTCGAGATATAGGAAATATTCATTTCTGTATATATATATGTCGCTATTAATTTTCCATCCAGACATAATTTCATTGCTTTATTTGAATAATTATTCCATATACGAATACTGATGTCTTCAAGTTTATCTTGGGAAAATAATTTTAAATATATTTTTGTATCCAAATTTTTATATTAATTTGATAACTCATATTTTTGCACTGAAAAAAATTTATCCGAAATCTTCAACTACCTTTTGGTAGTTGAGTGAAAAGAAGTTAAAACAATTACTTTCTTAGTTAGTTTAACAATGTTTGTGTAGTTAATTTCATTATTTCTTAAGAAGTTAAAAATTAGTAGTACAATTAACTTAAAAATGTAGTTAGAATTTAAAACTAACTACAAAATCTTATTATATCAACTACATTCTTAGTTATTTTAACTACTTTTAAGTAGTTAATACAACTTTTAAAATTGAGTTGAGGACCTATTGTACTATACAGGGTAGTTAAAAAGTAGTCAAATCTACTACTTATTTTTTTGAGTGTGGCATGAATTTGTTGTTTTTAAATTAATTGTATAATAATATATAATATATAATATATAATATATAATATATAATATATAATATATAATATATAATATATAATATATAATATATAATATATAATATATAATATATAATATATAATATATAATATATAATATATAATATATATATATAATATATTATACTTTTATAATTTAAAAGAACTAAGAATTTTTATTTTAATTAATTTTGATATAAAAATGATATTAAATAAAAATTTACTTTTATGTAAAATTAAATAAAAATTCTAAATTAGCATTCTTAAGAGAGACAATTTATTTGATTTTTCGCTTCATTAATGATTAAAATTTTCGCTAAATATAACTGAATTGATAAAATATATATATGTATGTAAAATTATTAATTTGAACTAAATGAGGTGATAATCTATATGAACAAGATCAGCTTCGTAATTGATCGATCGGTTCTCGGAAGCAATTTCTATATAAATTGATTAATTATCACCATAGGGTAAAATTTGGACCTGCTCAATGAATAACTACTAACTTGTTGTATCAATATTAAATTAATATATGGAAAAATAATAAATAATAATCAAAAAATTCAAATTTCTTAATTAATATAAAATTATTATTATTTTTGATGAATAATTATTTTTATTAATAAAATATTTATAAAAAAAATAGTAATTATTTTAAATAATACAGTTTTATATGCTGGGTAGAATATTGTGTATATATTTTTTATTTTATCGAGTTTTTTATTTTTGATTTTTATATTTTTTTTTATTGAGAAGCAGTTTGACTTTATTTGTGTTTAAATTTAATGATGATAAAATTTTTAAGTTTTTTTTTTAAATTTATTATATTACTTTATTATTAATTAATAAAGTAATTAATTATTTAAGGTCAGTAGTTATTCAAACAGAGGTGTTCTATGGTCTAGTAATTTTTACAGTAGTAGTAGGGTGTTTTAGTCAGACAAAAAGTTCTGTAATCTTGTTTATAATTTTCAGTCAAAATGAGTTGATTGTTATAAAATTCTTCTAATTTTGGTAGTGGAAGTAAAAAGTAGTTGTAGGGAGATTTTTAAATTAGTACATTAGTAGTAAAAGATGTTTAAAGTCCGACATTCGTCAAATTTTGGCAAAATTGTTCGACAGTAGTACGAATCGATTGTAGTCAGACAAAACTTTTCTAAGTACATTTGGTCCTCAGTAGTAAAACTCGATATTGGTCAGACAAATTGTTTTAAACTCTTGTAATTTTTTTGTTGATTAGGTATATTCAGACATGAATTTTCTAAGTTCTGTATAATTGTATGATTATTTAAAAATATTTACAAAAAAAAATTTTCTAGTAGTAAAAGTCAAATTTAGTCAGACACAACTTTTCCTAATTTTGCTTTTTTTGATCTAAGTAGTAGATGATAGTTACTGTCAGGCAAATAGTTTAGATTTTTTTGTTACTTTTTTACACTATCAGTAAAAAACGAAAAAACATTTTTTTATAATTTTCAGTGGAAAAGTCATAATTAGTCAAAAAAAATTTTTTTGTTACATAATGCTTTTTTAAGTAGTATAAGTCAATGGCCTTTTTTTTAAACAGGAAATAGTCATCTTTAAAAATATTTATATTTTATTAAATACTATATTTTTGGGAGAGTCTTTTTTAAAAGTAAAATAAATTTTTTTTTTTTTGTCAAATATGATCCCCGCGAATGTTTCTTTTTCGTGGGGGAATTTCATTTTTACAATGTCTGATGATATATAAAACTTTTGAATCTCTTAATCCGTGTAATAAATTTTATTACACTTGAGCCCTTTACCTGAAAAGCTTGTCGTCCAAAAACGATGTATTCCATATATGACACACAAGGACGTTTATTTTTGGTTTTAGTTTCACGTTAAACTGTACTTAGCCGTTATGTTGATAATAGAGTTTCATGTCTTTGGGATAGAAATGTATCACTTTCTGTAATAGAAATACAGCCATTGTCTCGTGTCTTGATACCATTGAAACTATTATTTTCTCCCTAATGTCTCCCCTAGACACAATGATATAAATCAACTGAGATAAAGAACATGTTATTTATTGCCGCGTAATAATTTATGATAGTTTACAATTGTTTTCTATTTTCGTGTGTCGCGCGGTTAGATCGCAAACCAAAAGTTTTCAAGTCAAATTTATATGATTTTAATTAAGAATGAAGTAGGTACTGTCATAATTTAAATACACTTCAATTTTTAATTGGAAATTTTTTTTTTTGTCATTATAAATCATTATTCTTTTGACATCATTTTTTAGTCATTAAAATAAATCTCTTGAACATTTTTTTTTCCTCATTGTAACTTTATAATTTTTTTTTGTTCATTAAATTCATTTCATTATAGGTGTTCCAAAGTGTCGAGATTTTTCTGATTCTAAATATATCATATGTTAATTGGAGGGAAAAATTAATAATTTTTTTTTTGTTAAAAAAATTTTTTCTAAGCAAATATAATTGGAATAATTATTGTAATAAAAAAAGAAACAATGTTTTGAAAGTTTAAAATAGGTTAAGGATAATTGTACAATATAGTATCAATACAGATCAGTGAATTGTACAAATCGTTATACTTTAATGAAGTCTTTTTAATAAAATAACAGAATAAGCTGTAGATGAAATAAAAATTGATATCCAACAGTAGCGCGGATATTAGAAAAGTAAAAAGGTGTACAAAACAAGATAAAGAAATTGGATCAGCTCGTTATGCTGGAGAAAACTTTAATTGGTGCATAGTTCAGAGCTGAAAAGTGAATCGTATATATATATATATATAGAAGAAGGCAAAGGAAAAGTAAAGATGAAAACTTGGGAATACAATCTTCTTCTTCCTGATTGACTCTCTTATTCCAAAAACTCGCAACGTTTCAAACTTGAGATTTCCTTAATAATTAAATAAAGTTTTGGTAATTAAATTTTTGCACCGCGAAAATAAAAATAAAAATTTGTTTTTTAAAAATTGAATTATGCGGTTTTCGAAAAAATAAGGGAAAAATTTTTATTTTGAGGGAAAATACAGATTCAATCTATCGTAAAACATATAAGGCAAATGGATTGAAAAATGATTTTTATCCTTGATTTGGCATTATTCCGTTTTGATGGTTGAGATTTGTAGGTAATGGTTTTGGTAGACGTTGGTTTGGTGAGAGTGGCTATGGAAGCGTGTTTTAAGCAGATGCCGTGAGCGACCCCCATAAATCTGCCATTCCCGCCCAGTGAGCTCGATCTCACACGCTCTGAATGTTTCTTATAGCGCGCGAAAAGCTCTCTCATGTCGCCGTTATACTTTCAACATTCAGTAAGCGCGTGTATAATGTTAGCTTAATGTTGTTGGTTATTAGCGACCCGGAAAAATCATTTATGTAAATTCCAATATCGATATTATGTATGTGACTCACAAAGAAAGGGACCTTAAAAACAAACTAATTATAGGTTATGTTTTGATTAAAACTTTTTGTTTCTATAAAATTAGTTTTTATTTTAAATATAACGAAGACAAACATTGGTTTTGCATTAAGAGTTGCTTTTCATTTTTTTTGAAAACATAACCTACAATTTTTTGCTCCCTTTCTTCGCGACGCCTAATATATATGAATATTGTATATTATATATATATATATATATATGTTGAGAAAGTGCACTAGCGATTGCTTGGTTTTCGAAAGACCGGAAGTGCAAACCACGCTATAGAGTGGATTAATGACAAATTAATGCCAGTATGCCATAAGCGATACTGAATAATCAAAGTTCAGGGGATTTTGAAACACCACTGGTACCTCCTCGATTGCCGCAATTAATCCATCTTGATTGATTTATCAAAAATTCATAAAGTAGACGCGTAGTCAATAGTTCACATCTGTAAACAAGGGGTTTAAAAAATTTGCCGTTGAAAAAAATCAATATTTTCAATTTATGACTTTATTTTTATTAAATTCGATATTTTAATCTTAACAGTTAGAATAGCTCTGCAGAGTTTATTACTGAGCTAAAAGTAGAATTTAAAACAATATGTCTGACTGTGACTGATTTTTACTACTGAGACTTAGGAAAAATTAAAATTTTTATTAAAATTGTAAATGTCTGACTATAATTGACTGTTACTACTGACAATTATATAATTGGAAATGTCTGACTATAGGCGATTTTTATCACTGATACCAAATTTACATACTGTTGAAAGATTTGACTGACCAAAATTGTGTTTTACTACTAACACTCACACTATAACTGTCTTTTATTACTGATAAAAAATGTATGAAGAACTCGTAAACGCTTTGTCTGACTAAAACTGGCTTAAACTACTTAACATCGACAAGAAAGCAATTATATTTTAATACTGACATTTATACTATAATAATTTGGGATGTCTGACTATAAACGCCTTTTACTACTGATACGAAATAGATAATAATCTCGTAAAAGCTTTATCCGACTAAAATTGTCTTTTACTACTTGTACTCGACTATAACAACAATTACATTTATTACTAACACTTATACTACAATACTTAGGAATGTCTGACTATAAACGGATTTTACTACTAATACAAAATGTATAAAAATTAACTCGTAAATTCTTCGTCTGACTAAAACAGTCTTTTACTACTCGTAGTGATTATAATCGTCATTTTTTACTAATTGTAAATTGTAACACTTGTAAAAACTTCCTTTGACTAAAACTGACTTAAACTACTTATACTGAAATTCTTTTACTACTAGATTATACAATAATAATGTAGAATGTCTGACTAAAAACGTCTTCTACTACTGGCATGAAATCATTACTGACTTTATGAAACCTTTGTCTGACTGTAACTTTACTACTACAAAATTATTTTAAAAAAATTGTCTGACTGCAATTGACTTGTACTACTTGTATCAAAATTAGATAACTAGAAAAATTCTATCTGAAAGATTACTTCTTTTGAGAATTTGTTAGAGCATTTGTTTCAAACAAATATTATTAATTTTTACAATTTCTAAAAAATTATTAAATTTATTATTAATAATTATTAATAAATTATATTATTATTGTAAATAATAATTGTATCCCCTACCCTCGTTTCAACTTTAGTTTTTATTAACTAAGTTAAATAGAGGACAGCTTATGTAAGATTATAAGTTCTTAGCTTAAGAAATTATTCATTAAATTTTAATTATTTAATTAAAATCATAATTAATAATTTAAAAACAATAATGATTATACAATAATATAAGAAGAGAATAATTATTAATTATAAATATTATTAATTATAATAATTATTTATACAATATTACAAGAAAAAAACAATTTTTAATTTCATAAAAGTTTGCAATTTCTTTTAATGAAAATGATTTTGATTTAAGATAAAAAAAAATGTTATATTCTATCCAATATAATTTGTCATGTAATTAAATAAATTTTAATTCAATCGGTAGAAATCGTGAAAAGAAGTAATAATAATAATAATAAAAAAAAATACGTTATTATAGTAAAGTAGTTTACCGAGTCTGAAGCGATGATAAAAATTTCACGCTTTTAGAATGGTTACCTTTAGAGAGTGAGTGAGAGAGAGAGAATTGAGGGAAAACCGAGTCGCTTCCGGCGTGTCGAAATAAACCGGTGGAGAGAGAGAGAGAGGAGTTTCCTGCTCACGTTATATTCTCCTTTTCCTATTTTTCTCTTCTACTCTCTTAGTGAGAGACGAAGACGGTTTGAGCCTACATTATTTATGCAAGTAGTATACTCACTCTGATCTTTGCAGCCTTTGAGCTCCATGCGAAGGCAAACCGTGCGCCTGTGTACGGAGTGAGGTAACACGCGTATCTGGCTCGCGAAAATCGGCGGAATAAGCTCGTGTGAAACGACTGACGACGTATCACTGTTACCAGCTAAAACCTGCAAATCAAATTATAGAGATAATTAATGATAAACAAAATTATTTCATATTTTTTTGAATTTTTTTTTACCAATTACACCGAACTTTGTGACTTAGTAATGAAAAATTAGTCATTAAATATAAAAAGTAATAGAAATAAAAAGTAAATTAATTCTATAATGATAAAGTGAATAATTATGAAAAAAAAACTAAATAAATATTCTCAAATTAAAATTAATATATTCTGAATTTTTTTTACATAGGCAAAAAAATCTTCACCTAGAACAGCGATATGTTTCACTAAAACAGCAAAAGTTTTCGCTAATCTAGAAAAATATATTGTTATTCCAGTGAAACTTATCGATGTTCCAGGTGAAGATTTTTTTTGTGTGCATTTTTTCGTTTTTTTTTTACAATTTTTTCTTGTATTTTTTTTGGAAAAATTTTTATTGTTTTCTGTCAGTAATATATAGATAAATTAAATTAATTGACGAACAGCAATTCCAATTTATAAATATAATAATGAAACAACCAGTTATTAAAACTTGGGTCTTTAATTCTTTCATTTTTTTTTAAATACCTCAATTTATTTGAAATACGTCAATGAAAATTTCCGTTTTCCAATAATTAAAGTTCAATTAAAAAGTTTTGAGAACGAGAAATTTCAATGTAAAATATTCCGATGACTTGTCAGATTTAATTTTATCTTGCGCGTAATTAATGAAAAACAAATTACAAACAATAAAAAAAAAAAAAAAAAAATTACTTAATATTGTTATAATTAATGATCTCTTTTTTTTATAAATAAAATTTGAAGACTATAATTGAAAACAAGAGAAAATTTTGAAAATTCACCATATATTAATACTAAAGTGAACCGAGAATTAATTAAAATTATTTTTGCTTTAAAACATTTTCAATTTGAGAGAAGATATTTCCATGAATATTAATTATATGAAATTTATGTGTATGAATATCATTATGAGTATAAAATTAATTTTCAAATATATGTTGAAAAAAAAAATTTGATTAAATTATTTGTAAGAGAGAATTGTTTATTGTAGACAAAGTGGGGATTTATTTTCAGTTTTTATATCGATTATTTTAGGCTGTAATTAATTAGGTTTGTTAAAATATTTTAAAAATATTTTAAAATATTTTACAATATTTTAAAATAAGATTTGCTTTATTATTTTTGAAATGTTTTTTTTTTTTAATTACTTAAATTAGATGTTGAGAAAACTGAAGTTGATGATAAACAATATAAGGTAATTTTCCAAGAAAATTTTGAACTGAATTTCTTAAAATGAAATTAGAGAATTGGTGCGGTATTTTTGATGAAGTCGGTTTAACAAACTCAAATGAAATTTGGTCCCTTTTATTTTTGAGAAATAATAGTTCGTTATTTGACGCTAATGGCCTCTTTCCTTTCCTGCCCCTTTTTCCGTTCTTCTTTTTTAGCTGCAATTCAAATAATCTTTTTCCTTTTTACTCTTTTCGAAGCTTTGTCTGAGGTTTTCGTAACGCCTAGTATTTACATAATGGGGTTATTAGCTTCATGCATCGGCATTGCAGTGCTCGGTGTAATATCCCGAATAGTGGATGAATTTCACCTCCTTTTCTTCTTTTATATATAGAAAAAAATTTCGATTTTTTTTTTTTTTTGCAAACTTGTATAACATATATTTTCTCAAGAAACGAGAAGAACAAAATCATTAAGTTACAGGTCAAAGTAAAATGGAACTTTAAACAAAAGTGAATTAAATATCCTAGAGATGAGATAAAATGCCGCTGGGCACAGCTTTCAGAACTTTTCCAACAATCTTTTTATTTCTTTCATTTTTCCTTTTCCTTTTCACCCCCCCCCCTTTTTTTTATCTTTCTTTTCACGGAAAAAAGGCATCAAAGATTTTCTCTGTAACGAATTTAATACTTGCAAAAAAAGAAAAAAAAAAAAAAAAATAAGAAAAGTGCATGTGATTCATTCTCAAGAAAAGTTCATTCTTTCGATAATGTGAAATTTGTTCGTAGGATGAGAAAAATCAAAGTTCTTGTCACAATAATCTTCTTAAGAATTTTACTTGAAAAAATTTAAATTCTTTTTCCGGGCAGAAATTAATTGTGTAATTTTAGAATTTGAAAAATTAAAAAATAGTTAATTTTGTTAGAAATTGTTTCGAAAATGTGTTTTTGATGTTTTCTTTTTTTTTTTTTACCTCTTTGCCATCCCAACTCTTGTATGGTTTCCAATCACCGAAAGTTGTTCTTCGATACTCTAGAGTATATTCCTCGACGTATTCTTGTCCTCGTCCGTGATCAAATCGACCTTGAGTCTCGATTCCAGTAACGACATAAGTTCTCTTTAAATCAATCTGCAGCCACTCTCGTACTCCATTTTCTATTTGTTTTTTTGGACACCACGCTCCGCCAGCTGTTTCTTTTCTTAATCTGAAAAAAACGATTTATTTTTTTTTTTTAATCTTAAAAAATAAGAATATTTAAAAAATATTTATTATTTTTAAAAAGATATTTATTATTTAAAAAAATATTTATTATTTTAAAAAAATTATTCTTTATTATTTTTAAAAAAATATTTTTCGTAATTTATTTTTAAATTTGAAATAAATTTTTTCCTATTTTGAAAATGGTATGCACTAAATTCAAGAATAAATTGCAGTAAAATATTCAAGTATCGATTTTGAGTATATTTTTATTTTAATATATTCTGAAAATAGTTTTTTTTTTTAAACAAAAATAACTTTAAAGTAGAGCAAGGAAACAATTTTTAGTTTTTTTTTTTTTTAATTTCGAAGTTTTTTCGTTTAGAATTTCTTTTTAAAAATACAAAAGTTTTTACATTAACTCTCGGAGTTTCTTTTTTTTTAAATTATACCCACTTTTAAGAAACAATAATATAAAGCAATCAGTGAAAGTATATAATTGTTTTCAAAAATGAAATTTATATATCTTTATATCAGTATAAAATAAAGTTATAATAATTTTCTTTTGTGTTGCGCAATACCATTATATTCGCGTAGAGATCTCGCATTCGCGAAATTACGTTTTCCGCACCGAGACCAATGCGATTTTCGCGCTGAATCTCGTTACCTGATCGTAAAAGCCGCATGACGCATCTATATATATATATAGAGAGAATGCATCTATGAATGACGGACTGAAAGCTTTTTCGGTTTTGAATCATCCGACTGTGTCACGAGTAATATTACACGTTTCATGAAAAAAAAAATATATATATCTTGAAAGTATCGCCATGGCTATTGAATCGCGTACTTTTATGCCCAAAACTAAAATTAAATTACTCACCGGCAATGATTCGTTTAATAGGGCCATCAATTTTATCTCTTTTTTGTTTAGTTTACTTTATTGTTGGTAATATGTGTTAAAATTTTTTTTTCTATTCAGATAAATTAAATTTTAAATTAAGTAAATTTAAATTCAAAACAAAACTGAAAACAAAATTTATCTGATTCAAATACTTAAGTTCAAATAAATATTTGAATCAAATAATTTTTATTTGAATTAAATAAATTGTACACCCAGAGAAATGTTTTATTTGAACCAAATATAATATATTTGAGTTAAACAAACGTATATTTGTCTCAGAGCCTACTAGCTCATTTATTTGGCGTAAATAAAATTTTTATTGGAATCAAATAAAAATTTATTTAAATCGAATAAATATTTATTTGAATTAAATAAATTTTTATTAGGCTCTGAGACAAATATATTATTTCTCTGGGTGTATTTAAATTAATTTCTTTAAAATAAATACCATTTAATTGACTCAAATAATAATTGATAAAAATAAATATTTATTTGATAATTGTAATCGATTATTTGAATAAAATAAATTTTTTTTCATTTTGAAAAAAATACCATTTTTTTTTTAGTATTTTATACAAAAATTAATTTTACATTTTCTTTAATTTAGAATTTCTTACTTTAAGAGTATAGAATAAAAAGTAAATTCAATTATCTATTTTATTAGAAAATTTTCACGAGTTATTCTCAATTTCTATTAATTTTCAGTGGCACTTTATGTAAAATACTTAAAACTAATATCAGATAGTTTAATCCGCTTAAATACTTTAACTTTAAAGCATTTAAACAATTGTTTGCAGAGTTTTAATACTTATGACCAACACAAGTTGGGTTTAGGTCACCGATAAATTTTCCGCTACTTATGAAATATCAACTCAAAGAAGAATATATATAACTAATTTTAATGTTGTTTTCTTCTTTTGTAAATTTTTCCCTACAAGAAATTCGATTATTTTCCGTCTTGATGCGATTTAATGTTTCTTCTTCTTCTTTATTTTAATCTCAATGATATTCTTTTTTTTTGTGATAAAAAAAAAAAAAAAAAAATGCAGAATTGTTGTTTTCATTTAAAATCCTATGAATGCAATGGTTAAACGTAAACATGAAGGGGGAACATTTTTTGATATATATAGGTATGGCGCGCCTCTTGATTTCCGCGGGAAACGAGAGAAATGAAATTCTGCGTACGAATAACAGCTTTTAATGGTTTAATTAAATTTGTCTGTAATTACACAACAATCATTTATGCAGAAGAGCATGCAAACAATTCCAATAAATTCCACTGCATATATGGATGCAAATGATGTTTGAAAAAAATATATGCCCGCTTAGTACTAGAAAACATTATAGTATGAGAATAAGTACTTAACATTTTCAATTGTTTGCTATACTTTACAAACTTTTCATGTTCGTCATTATTTAGTGTATGTATATGTGTGCAAATGAAAACTGTAAATTTTTCGTTATTAATTCAAGAATGTAATACGTTTAGTTTTTTTTTATTTTTCAGATTTTTGACTTTTCTTTGTTCGTTATATTTTCAAAAAATGTAAAAATGCAAATTAAATCCTTTTCATTAAAATTTTAATCAAGTTTTAAAATATGATAAATTTTCCTTATATCTAAAGTTTTATAAATATTATTGAAATCGATGATAATGTAGGACAAATATATAAAATTTAATAAATGAAAATATATAAAGTAATATGTAATTTAAATTAAATAATGGTGAAAAGTTAATAGAATATTAAATTGAAATAATTTGAAAATTAAATTAAATTGAAAATAATATTTAATAGAAAATAAATGATAAATTAATTTAATTGTAAAAATTATTAAATTAAAAAATTAATATCTAAAATAGAAAAATAAGTTCTGAGAAATTTTTTTTTTTAAATAATTTATTGCCGCATGAAAATTAGTTAATTTATCAATAATTATAAATTAATCTGAATTTAATAATTTAATTTTGAAATAATTATTGAAAAAATTAAAGTGTTTTTAAAAATTGTGACGATATTGAGAATGGGAATTTTATAAAAAGAATAGCGTTCCAGTGACGACCGATTATAGTCAGGAAAAGCAAGCTGTCGTGTTCGTCTATTGCCCTGAACAAAAGAAGAACAATTCACTGGATCGTTCGACGGTTTTAAGAACTTCTCTGTTTCAAGAACTACACTTAAATAGTGTATTAAAGCAGAACACTTCTTTTTCAGTGACTGTACACTCTATAGTTCTCTCACTTCCTTTTTCTCGAATTGCCTGAACGGAATTTCCAATGTGATTGTTTGACTTTTATCTCTTCCACAAAAGATAAAGATAATGAGCCACATGAAAATTCAGCTCGTATAAAAGTACTTTCTACTCTCTTGGAAAATGAAATATTGATTTTCTTGCAATTTTTTGATTTTTATTAAAAAAAAAAAAATAAAAAAAAAAAAAAAGTTTATTTTTTAAAAAAAATTTCACCTGCGGCATTATGTTTCGAAAAAATTTTAAATTTGGAAATTATTGTCAGTTTATTCTTAATTTCATGTAAATTAATTAATTATTATTATTATTATTATTATTAATTATTTTATATAAATCTTATAAAATGTATTTTCTTTTTGCAGATTCTATCATCGATGCAAAGATATGGGAAAAAGTAAAAAAAGGATATCTTATCTTGAAGTACAAAGGATTCTCCATATTAATGTGAGTTTAATTTTTTCAATTTTTATCTATTATATTTTTTGTAAAATTTTTGTTCATCAAAAATGTTGAAGTTATTGGCAAACTAACGAAATGTTTAAAAAGGTTTTTACCTGCTTTTCCAATTTTTAGGAATAGATTCAGTTTATTATATCGAAAAAAAAGCGGAATTAAAAATTCTTGTAAATAACTTTATAAACGAAAAATCTATATGAATTTAAAAATATGTTTATAATATAGATTATTACACGGTTTAGTGGACCATTAAAAAGAACATATCTTTCATTTAGCAAAAAAAAAAGGAAAAGGAAACTTGGCGGAAAACGCCTGCGATAGTGTCAGAGTGATTCACGCGGATGTAGGCCGAGTTACGATTCTGCAGGCGCTCATCCGGCTGACTAAAGCCATACTTGTTCCACTTCTAGAGGTCGCTTAGGTTTCTAATCTAAAGAAAACGGTTTATACCGGATTTCCCGTTATCAATAAAAAATATATAAATATAATTTAATTTACTTGATTATACATTGAGAAAAAAATTTAATTCAAATTATCAACTATATTATTAAATAAATATTTGTTTTAATTAAATAATTATTCTTTAGGTCAAATGGTATTTGTTTCAAATATAATTTAATTCAAATAACAAAATTATTGATTCAAATACAATTTAATTCAAATAAAAATTATTTGGTTCAAGTAAACATTTATTTGGTTCAATTAAATATTTATTTGATTCAAGTAATCGATTATTTGAATCACAAAAATTTTTCCTCGGTGTGTGAAAAAAAATCGTAACATTGAAAATGAGGTTTTAAACATGAAAATTTAATTGTATAATTTCTTTTTTTGGAAACTCTTTACCTTGACTTAAATGATGTAGAGATATGGGAAAATTAAGGAAGAGGTTGCAAATTAAATAAGATTTCAGGTGTATTAAATTTAAATGGTAAACTGTAATGAGGTCGGTATTAAAAGCAAGCAAGACGATAAAACGACATTAGCATTAAAAGCGTGTACTTAAAACTGGAGAAAAACTAAATAGTGTAAGCAGGAAGGAATATATATATATATATATATATATATATATATACAGACAGTGATATTATTTTAGATGCAGATTTCAGAGCAGATTTCTAATAATTAAAAATTAAAGCACGTAATGCAACCTGCAATAATCTGCCATGATTGTAAATATTATTTACGAAATTTTTATACATAAGCACGTATAAAAATTATAATTATAATTTTAGAAAAAATTTTACTTTTTATAATCTCTGAATTTGAAAGACGTATGAGAGATGAAGTTAAAAACGGAGAGATTTTTTTTTATATAAAATATATAGTATTGGATGATAGTTTTTTTTTTTAAATTAAATTAATAATTAAACTGGAAGTTAATTAAAACTTTATTTAAAAGCAGAATTACATTAAACTACACTGGTCTGAATTAATACTTTTTCACGTATTACACAGAGGGAATTATTTTTACAAGTTTTTAAATTTTCAAATTTTCAAATTTTCAAATTTAAAAATTTTAAAATTTTCAGAATTAGAAAATTAAATATTAAAAAACTGATTTTTATTTAAACTATTTTATCTCAGTTTTTTTTTAAATAGACTAGAAATTCTTGTAATTTTTTTTGTAAGTAGTAAAAGTAGGTTACAGTGAGACAAAAATTTCTCTTTTTTTTTTTTAAATAGTTAATTTTTTACCTGCTATTTTTTGGTCCCACATTGGTTACGTAGGACGATGATGCATTGATGGCAGAATCTGGAATTGCTCCAGTTTCCATTCCAAGTGGTGTGTGACATGACCCTGGAAAAAAGAAACAATTTTTTTTTTTTAAGAAATTTGTTAGCATATTTTTGATTATCATGAATTTTGTTTGGAAGTCAATACCACTGGGATTGATAAGTAGGAATTGAAAGTTTCACTTTGTAACTACGTTTACTAAGTTAGGACAAGTAGGAAATAGCCTTTAGCTCAAGACATAGCGCCACTGGGGTATTATCCAATTATTAGTCTTTCAGCCACCTTATTCACGTTTCAATTCAACCGAGTTTGTTCTCATTCACGCTCAATCTTCCCCTTAAAACTTTGCATCCGATTAAACCTCACATTCCATAAATTCATTACAATTTTATTTTAGAAAAAAAAAAATTGTTAACTTTTTTATAATTGAGAATAGTATTTTTAATTTTTTTAGAATATTAGTGATAATAATAATAATAATAATAATAATAATAATAGTAATAATATTTAAAAAAATAATAATAATAGTAATTATATTAAAAAATAATAATAATAAAAAATAATAATTTTAATACAAAATTTTCTATTATTTTACTAAAACAATATGAATTATTAATGTAGAAGATTGAATTTTTTTTTAAATAACGTACACGTACAGTTAATATATATATATATATATCATCTTTTTTCTGAAATCTTTTAATAACGCGTTTTAAAAAGAAACATAATTACTACAGCGGAGTGTCACGACTCGGTTCACTTTGATCATGTTTCTCGGGGAAATCGCATTTTTTAAAAACCGTTTTTTTCAGTTCGTGCATTTCTCTGAATTTTTTTTTTGTTGCTTTTTCTTTTTTTTTTTTGTTACGTGCACTGGCATGAGTAATAGGTATTAGAATTCTCTGTTACTATACAAAAGTATATTTTTAATTATACAGGATAATAGATTTGATTAAAAATGTGGACACGATTAGAATTTAAATTAAAAATTCTCATCATATAAAAGAAAAAATTAATCAAAATTTCCATTTGAAAATTAATTTACGAAAAGAATAGCAAAATTTTCCTGTTTTAAAAACTAATTACTTTTTTTTTTATGTTAATTATTTATTTATTTGTAAATAAAAATTTATTTTTGTATTTAACAAAATATTATTATTATTATTATTATTATATTATTATTATATTATTATTATATTTTATTCTGTATTATTTTTTTTTTGAAGGAAATTCGTTTGACTAATGGAACTGTGTTTTTTTTGGGTACAAAGAGTGTATTTAATGGTTAAATGGTAAAAGTAAATTATGAAACATTCACGTTAAAGAATGAAAGCTCCGAAAGAGTGATTTTTAGTAACGAAATGAGATCGTTTTTATTGGCTCGACAAATTAACTTAGGGGTAAAACGATCGATCCTTCACGGGCGATTAAATTTCACGCGTGTTTACTCAGGCTCTGCAGTTTATGTTGACAGACCTTCGCTTGCTCGTTCTTCTCTTCATGAGTGAACCACAAAAAAAAAAAAAAGAATGTCTCCTCTTTTATTGTTGCTGGTTTCGATATATATATATATATATATTCCACTGAACAAAATTTATTCTTTTCCTCTGAAAAAAACGTGCGTCTTATCCTCAGATATAACTGACGGTGAAGCGAGAGCCCTAAAACTTTTTGAAAAGAAGAAAACTTGTGACAATTTCGAAAAATGGAACAAATTGTGAGAGAAGAACGAAAAGGAGATAGAAATGCACCAGTGGCGAGGAAGATTACGAGCGAGGCACCCGCTTTAATCCGTTGTAGAAATAAATTGTCGCAACTCTTTCGTTGTTAAAGAAAGAAGGATAGAGAGAGAGAGGAAGAGAGAGAAAGGCAAAATGATCTAGAAAAGTAGTATAGCGGGAGAGAAAAAAAAAAGTAAAATAGGGATCAGTGCCATAAAAGTAGGAGCCAACTTCACTTTGTTCGAAACTCCAGTAATTTTGACGGTTATGATGCAAGGTACAGAATTCTTTTTCAAAACTTTTGTTTGCCAAAAGATTTTCATCTTTTTATCTTGAAAAATAGTGGAATTTTTTTTTTTTCTTCAATAAAGATCAAAAAGAATATTAAAATTAAATTTTTTCTAAGAAATGTAACCAAATGAATTGGAAATTATTCTCATCCTCTATAGGCTGACATTTTATTATCGGTTTTTTGGTGAGGGGAAAAAAAAGTTAGTTGAAGAAGTTGATCCTTTTAAAAGTTTACTCGGTCATAATGTGCGGTATAATGTGTATTCAAGCTTGGAAATATTCTGGTATCCTGGAGTAAACAAATTTTTTTCTCTCACTTTTTTTTTTTTATTGAAACTAATTTTATTTTTTATTTGTTACTTTTTGTTGTTGTTGTTGTTGTTGCTGTTGTAATATTGTGAAAAATGATGTGCATCATTTTTCAAACTTCTCTCATCAGCGGCAAACGTGTGCAAGTCCTGGCTTCATGGAAACACTTGGAGGTATTCCATTAAAACTTTCCAACGAGAGAAGAGGTACTACTTCTTACAAATATCTGATCTACTTCCCAATCCAATCCCTAAACCTATTCTGCTGTATTAACTTTCTTCAAACAAGTTGCAAACAGTAAACTTGAAGGTGACTTTATCCCAATCGCCTTAAGCTCAACTACTTTGACGCCAATCCGGGAAAAGGGTCAACCTGACCTTTTTTTTCCCTCTTTTTTTTTATTTGTATAAGCAGTCAGGAGTTGCAAAAAAAAAAATTTAGTTTTTTTTTTGTTCTGGAAAAGAAAAGTCTTTATGGTACAACTATTTAGTTGTTGGAACAATTTTGTTGTTTTGGGAAAATTTTTTGATGTCTGACTGTAACATAGTTTTACTACTGGTAAAATTAGAAGAATTAAAAAAATGTTTCTTGCAATGGCTGACTTAAAATTATTTGTACTACTTCGTACTAAAATTAAAGGAATTTGAGAAGTTCTGCCTAAAAGTAATTTTCAATACTGATAAAAAAATTCTGTCTGACTATAACTCTATTTTACTACTTCAAGTAATTTTGTAATTTCAAGTGCTCTGTCTGACTGTAACTGGCTTTTACTACTTATAAGTATAAATAAAACATACTTCTACTACTGGAGCAAAAAATGGTTAAATATAAAGTCGCATGTCTGACTAAAAATCTCTTGTACTACTAAAACTAATTTTGTCAAAATTCTGAAGATTCCGTCTGACTGAAATTGACTTTTACTACTGATACAAAAATTATGTCTGACAAAACTGTATTTTACTACTTAAATTAATTTTCCAATGTCAATTTCTCTGTCTGACTGTAACTGACTATTACTACTTATAGTCTGTCTGACTAAAAATCTCTTCTACTACTAAAACGTATTTTGTCAAAATTCTAAAGATTCCGTCTGACTAAAATTGACTTTTACTACTGATACAAAAATTATGTCTGACAAAACTGTATTTTACTACTTAAATTAATTTTCCAATGTCAATTTCTCTGTCTGACTATTACTACTTATAGTCTGTCTGACCAAAAAATCTCTTTTACTACTGAAATTAATTTTGTCAAAATTCTGAAGATTCCGTCTGACTAAAATTGACTTTTACTACTAATACAAAAATTATGTCTGACTACAACTCTATTTTCTGACTAAAATTGACTTTCCCTGCTGATAAAAAAATTATGTCTAACTATAACTCTATTTTACTACTTAAACTAAATTTGCAATGTCAATTGTTCTGTCTGACTGTAACGGACTATTACTCCTTATAGTCTGTCTGACTTTAAAATCTCTTTTACTACTGAAACTAATTTTTGCTAAAATTCTGACTGTTCTGTCTGACTAAAATTTCGTTTTACTACTGATAAGTGAAAAGGAAGAAAAAATAATTTTTCTGTCTGACTAAAACTTTCTTTTACTACTTAAATCAATATAAAAAAATTATAAACCCTGTCTGACTACAATTGATTTTCACCACTGATAAATTTTACTAAATACACTTATACTACTTGTACAAATAAGAAACTTGTTTTGTCTGACCATTAATGTATTTTACTACTGTATAAAAGAAAAGACAGTAGATAATTGTTGGGTAAAAAATTATTCTTAACTTTCTTGATTTTTCTTTTGATTAGATTAGGTTTAATTATAGTAATTATTTTCTCGTCAATTATTAAAGAAAATATTATTAAATAATAATTAAATTATATTTAAAAAGGGTACGTTGGAAATTTTAAATTAAGTTAACAAAAATTGAACCTCCACTTTTAGAGAAAGAGTAGATTTCTTGATGCGATTGGATTCCTGAAATTTATGCGTGCTCATTGCTTAAATCTGATTGTCGGTTTTGCTGGCAAGTTTTCGATATATCATGGAATGATTATAGTTCTCCGTATCAAGTTTGGCCATTGCTGCGAGTTCCCTTGAAACAATTGTAAATCGGAAACTAACTGCTCGAGGTTATTCTTATTTCCCTTCCTGACAGTCGAACATTGCCAATTTCTGTATACTCTCTCCCTCTAATTAATCAAAATGATAAATAGACAAATCGATTAGTTCTCGTGAACGCATATCCATTGAATTAACATCGGATATGCAGCACACCTTCTGTGAATTATTTCATTTGTTTCAACAAATTCAGTCTTAAAATAAGATTGTATACTTAAAATATAAAATATTCTTAATTTCATTTTATATTAAAATATTCTAAAATAGGTCTTTTTTCAGTGTAGAATATATTTTCAATTTGAAAATAATTTTGTTCTAAATAGAAAAAATTGATTTTAAATTATAATTACGTTGAAATAGGAAAGTGAAGGAAAAACACGTCCTCAAGAAATGAGTCGTAATACATCTGTGAAACAGCTTATTCGAGAGTGGATTGCGAACCGGATTTCCGGTGACAATAGAAGTTGTTACTTACACATTGTGACAAAAGCATTCAGTGTAATAGTATGTGCAAGGGCATCTCTAGAACAAAATAAACTCCACCACCTTACATTGCCACTGGACAAGGTTCTATTTGTACCATTCGTATAGCGTACAAACCATCCGAG